TTTTATTATTTTCCTAAAATCATTAAAAGAAGTAGATAGTCTGACATGCTCTGGAAGTGAGTTCCATGTAGAGGCAGCTAAAAAACTAAAACTATTTGTTCCTTATTACTAAACTGTTCTGCTTCTAGGGACTTCTAAAATTTACTGTATCTGAAATTATAAGATGATGTTTTTACATGAATAAAATCCTGTAAATAACAGGGGCTTTGTCCATTTAAAATTTTAAAATTTTCAATAGCTACTTGTCTGAGTCTACTTAATTGTAATGTACAAGTGTTACCGTTTTCTAAAAGATCTTCGTAGCTGGAATTAAAATCTTGATATACAAATTTGAGGGCTCTATAATGTACCCTTTCAAGTTTCTGGGTGTTTGCTTTGGAGCAAAAATGCCATATGAGTAGACAGAAATCATTTTCATTAGAATTGTTTTTAATATACATGATTTATTATTTGTAAGGGTGTTACCCTTGTTCAATAAAAGAATAACAGTTAAATCATAATTCATATTTATGACACAAAATGCTTGCCTAAACTACTTGAACATGTCAAGTTCAAACTCAAGTTCTTTATGACCTTAAGTCTTTCGACTCATCGGTTGCAAATATAAAGTGTCCATTTTAAGGGCCTGACACAAACATCAACATTTTGACCAAAATTCCATGTTTTTACCAATTTAAAAAAACCCAACTTTTTACAGCCATAAAATATAAATACTCTACGTTATGAAATATAACTTGGAAACTCTGAGAACTATTCTACGCCTCTCTCGATCTGTTTGTCAATGGAAATCATGTCCAATAAATTCTTGCTTTTCTATGTATGTACTCGGCAGTGCTTGAAACGGGTAAGTACTACAGCTTAAAAAAATAAATCTTCCCCTGCTCCGCTTGGCGGTGAAAGTATAATTGTCCCAATCCTATAAAAAAAAAAGTTCTAGTTGGCAGAAATTAGTATACATGCAGAACTGCTATTACAATTCTAATATATTAGTACCAGATAAGTGCCAAAATCTGTCTTTAAATTTTGGGCAACACCTAATATTAATTCCTGAGTCCCCCGGCCCCCCACCGTCACCCTAAAGACAATACAAAAATGTATTTACAACCAGAATCTGATATCCCCAGACCCTTGCCATTATCAAACACACAGTACATATTGTACTTGAAATACTGCTTAAGATTGCTTAAGCTTGATACAAGTGAGATCAAGTTTGTTTTTACTTTTAGGTCTAGTAGTTTGTTATTGGCAATAATTTGAATTTTCACTAATTGCTGGTTAAAGTTGACCAATGTTTGTACAACTGGGTCCTGGTCACCAGCAGTTAACCAATCCTGTCCGCTACACATACATCAGGTTGTCATGTATATGGTATGTCATAGAGATGTACATATTATATTAATCTTTTGACAAAAGGTCAACTGTGAGGGAAACTTAAATCCTAGTGTGAGATACTGTTATTTTAAACTCATTATGATTTCAGTGAGGTCATGACTAGCTGTATAGATGGAGCTCGAGGTGCATGGCCTTTATTTGAACAGGTTCCATTGAATTTGAAAAACACCATAAAAATGTTGTTTGAATACTCCTTCAAGGGTCACTGGCCTAGTAAACATTAAACACATGTCACAGCTCTTGTTCAGCTAAATAATGCAAACTTAGCATATACTATTTCATGTTGAAGATATTTACAAAGTATTATATTTACACACTTATTTAAAGGCCAACTTTGCTAGTTTTAATTATGGTTCATAGAGCAATAAACAATAAAACAAGCTTAAATGACTACCTCTATTTCGTGACTCACTGTCTTCAGTGAACATTTTCAAATTCTCTCATTCATTTGAACATTACTGATTAAGCTAATTCACCCCTGAAAACACATTTGAACTCTTCAATTTCAAAGGTTAGAAAAGTAAATTATGAAATTTCAGGGTTGAATGAGTTAATGGGTTGAAGTGACCACCTGTTTAATGGACTACAGTACTACATGTATATATAGCAACCACAGATGTTTTGCTCAAAAACAGGTTAAATAATTGTATTTGATAAGTCTAGCAACCAAATGGCTTTGTAAACCAGTAAATGTCATAGGCCTAATTGATATATGCTGACCTCTGAACTCTGAGCTGCTGGTCACTGTCCATTGACTCAATCTAGCTCTGCCACAGTTGAAATTGTAATAAATTTACTGTTTAAGCATGTTCTGTCACAGTGATCAATATGAGCAAGATTTTGGTGTTAATCCACTATCCATCACCAAAGTTTTAAAATGAAATTTCTATAGATTCACAATTCAACAAAATTGTTTGAATACCAAATTGTATCATTAACTAAAAACAAAACCTTCATTTTAATCCTTTCATCCATAGTAAATTCGAGGCCGAGCTGATGTTCTTAACCAACCGTTAGATGTACTTAAATGGGTGTTTTTTGAGTAGAAAATGCATGGAAATAGCTAATATATAAGTAAAAAAAATCAAACTCAGAACATGCTTGTTGCTTTATAATTAATTGTATGTAAGGTCTTGACCGTGAGGGCTAAACTGAAGGTTATAAAGGTCAATAGAAGTTATGAGTGTTTACATGGGGCATGCACCATGAAAGAGTTGTATTGATTCTTTGAGAACCTATGACGGTGATAAAGGAAAGTTAATACCTCCATTGTAACAGCCAGTGTGTGTATTCCCTGTATGTACATGTGTGTACATGTATGTTGTAGGCATATTTAATTGTTTGCCGACGTGTATGTGGAAAAGTAGAATGTGTTGGGGTGATCTTACCAAAAATGTTAGATTTTTATGCATTAAATGATTTTGACCCGCTGCACTATATAAAGTTACCTCCCCTTAACTACCATTTGGATACAACAGTAGCACAGTCCAGCCAGGACACTTCCGCTGATCAGTTCATTTCAGATAGTACAACATGCTGAAGTCCAGGGTTCGAATCACGGTCAAGCCCAGCTGCAGTTTTACACTCAGAAAATTGTTTTTGATTAAATTTTGTTCATTTCATGTTGGTTATTTTCACCCTCTTCAAAAGAAATCGACTTTTGTATCATATTATAATCACAGACACCCCTTCAAAATATGTTTTCTTCTTTAGTTTGTCATTGGGGACACCTATTAAAGAGACAATCTTTAATCTTCTGCCCAATAGCAACACTCAGCTAGTGCATCCCTTCGGCACCTCAGACTAGTTTGTTGTCAGACCTTGAAGGCACCTCAGAGTAGACTGTTGTCAGACCTTAAAGACACATCAGACTAAACTGTTGTCAGACCTTGAAGGCACCCCAGACTAGCTTGTTGTCATCCCTAGAAGGCACCTAAGACTAGCTTGTTGTCATCCCTTGAAGGCACCTAAGACTAGCTTGTTGTCAGACCTTGAAGGCACCTCAGAGTAGAGAGTTGTCAGACCTTGAAGGCACCCCAGACTAGCTTGTTGTCAGACCTTAAAGGCACTTCAGGCTAGCTTGTTGTCATCCTTTGAAGGCACCTCAGACTAGCTTGTTGTCATCCCTTGAAGGCACCTCAGACTCGCTTGTTGTCATCCCTTGAAGGCACTTCAGACTAGCTTGTTGTTATCCCTTGAAGGCACCTCAGACTAGCTTGGTGTCAGACCTTGAAGGCACCTCAGGCTAGCTTGTTGTCAGACCTTGGAAGGACCACAGAGTAGACTGTTGTCAGACCTTAAAGACACATCAGACTAAACTGTTGTCAGACCTTGAAGGCACCCCAGACTAGCTTGTTGTCATCCCTAGAAGGCACCTAAGACTAGCTTGTTGTCATCCCTTGAAGGCACCTAAGACTAGCTTGTTGTCATCCCTTGAAGGCACCTCAGACTAGCTTGTTGTCAGACCTTGAAGGCACCTCAGAGTAGAGAGTTGTCAGACCTTGAAGGCACCCCAGACTAGCTTGTTGTCAGACCTTAAAGGCACTTCAGGCTAGCTTGTTGTCATCCCTTGAAGGCACCTCAGACTCGCTTGTTGTCATCCCTTGAAGGCACCTCAGACTAGCTTGTTGTTATCCCTTGAAGGCACCTCAGACTAGCTTGGTGTCAGACCTTGAAGGCACCTCAGGCTAGCTTGTTGTCAGACCTTGGAAGGACCACAGACTAGCTTGTTGTCAGACCTTGAAGGCACCTCAGACTAGCTTGTTGTCAAGCCTTGAAGGCACCTCAGACTATCTTGTTGTCAAGCCTTGAAGGCACCTCAGACTAGCTTGTTGTCATCCCTTGAAGGCACCTCGGACTAGCTTGTTGTCAGACCTTGGAAGGACCACAGACTAGCTTGTTGTCATCCCTGGAAGACACCTCAGACTAGCTTGGTGTCAGACCTTGAAGGCACCTCAGACTAGCTTGTTATCAGACCTTGAAGGCACCTCAGACCAGGTTTTTGTCAGAGCAGTGTGACCAGGTTAGTCTGGACTAGGTCAAACTTTTGTGTTCATGTTGTGAGATCTTATATGGTACAACTAGATAGTATATGACCCTTAATATAAACTTTATTTTACTTCAACTTATATTAATCACTCTTGTTGGCGCTCTGAGTGTTATAATATGGGAGGAAACCAGCAGGGTACCTGAAGAACACCAACATGAGTTGGCAGGTGACCCAATACCTTTTCACATCCAATCGAGGAATGGAATCCCGGCCGCCTTGGTGAAAAGCCACTGCTCTATATACAAAGTGGGCATTTCTGATACTTCTACACTAAGAAAGAGAGCACCGGTGTGGCAACCTTTGTGGACAGCTATTATGGCTTACCTATAATCCATACATGTATATTCAAATATGATTGAGAAAGGACGTACTCGAGTGTATAAGCCACCTTTTTAAAAGAGAAACTAGCAAATAATCTCTATTGTGAAATTTGAATGACAGCAAATCCATGGAGCACGGACCTTTAAAATACAATAGAAAAAAGGCAACGATGAGCCACCTTAAGGTTATCAATAGTGTATTATATTTGTTGAGGGGAATCCCTGATGTGTATAAATACCAGTTACCTGTAAACTAGCTACCATTACAGGTGTACAATATAGGACTAACAAGCCGGTATACAACACGAGGGTATACATATTACAAGGTAAATTTGGATCTGCTTACAAAAATTAATGGTTCTGGTATTTGTACTTGAGACACACCACAATCTTTACGAGGATTCCACTCATCTATTTTTGATGTTTTTCAGGCAGAACGCTACAGTACTAACGCATTGATTTGAGTGGAAACAAACTGAGAAACATACTAAGGTAAGAATTTAACACTATTAGTCGTAATGTTACAATGAATTTGACAACAAATTCTTTGTCAAATTCATTGTTTGAAATAATTGTAGTGTAAGAGGAATTTGAAAGAAAAGGTTTTGATGACACATTTAATGTGAAGAAACCAGTCAACTACAGATTAAAGCCGTGAAATGTGGTTAGACATTGTTGTGGTCCCTCACAACTGTATCCATAATACTGAACACTGAAAGAAGAAACATATAGAAACGTATCCACATTTAACTAGAATTATTATATAGAGGTTTATTGTTGGTATTATTTATTATTTCAAAATGATGAAATCCAAAGCTATCCTGTGTGTAAACAATGAAGATTGAACCTGATCGCTATAGATTTGAAGATTGAGGTATAGTCTTCCCTTGTTTGACAAATTTGTTTATGGGAATGGCACTATATTTCAGTATCTGCTCGTTTAATTTATAAAATGGATTACTTGGTAAGACAATGTAAAGGTTCTTCTTAAGTCTGAAATATGTTATGCTGAAAGTTAAATGTTTTGTGCTGTGACAAGATAGTCATAGTGTAATCAATAACAGTTGGGATATTTATAGGAATCAGTTGGTCCTCTTGGTCTTGGAAAAACTTGTGCCTGCTAAAGAATGGGTTACTGTACCGGTGATGACACTGTCTAGGAATGTTAATAAATCGACAATCAGATTTAAAATAACACACATAAAGGAACAGGACTTGGGCAATATGACCCTAGTATTCACGGTGAAATTAGGGGTTCAGTTGAGAGTTTGAAAGGTAGTAGGATTTTTATTGGTGTACCTCTTGACATTGAGATCAGTCTGTTTTAAAACTTTAAAAGGGGTTTTAAATTCATTGTATGGATATTATTCACCTCTTGGCAGGCTTTATTGTTTCAATGTGTTGCAAGGCTTTATATGTTTTTAGCTCACCTGGCCGGAAATGTTTCATTTTCTAACTCTTGGTTATCTTTCCTAGCTTTTACCTCCTAGCACTTCTACATAACTACAGCACTAGGCATGGTAACCACTTTTACCTCCTAGCACTTCTACATAACTACAGCACTAGGCATGGTAACCACTTTTACCTCCTAGCACTTCTACATAACTACAGCACTAGGCATGGTAACCACTTTTACCTCCTAGCACTTCTACATAACTACAGCACTAGGCATGGTAACCACTTTTACCTCCTAGCACTTCTACATAACTACAGCACTAGGCATGGTAACCACTTTTACCTCCTAGCACTTCTACATAACTACAGCACTAGGCATGGTAACCACTTTTACCTCCTAGCACTTCTACATAACTACAGCACTAGGCATGGTAACCACTTTTACCTCCTAGCACTTCTACATAACTACAGCACTAGGCATGGTAACCACTTTTACCTCCTAGCACTTCTACATAACTACAGCACTAGGCATGGTAACCACTTTTACCTCCTAGCACTTCTACATAACTACAGCACTAGGCATGGTAACCACTTTTACCTCCTAGCACTTCTACATAACTACAGCACTAGGCATGGTAACCACTTTTACCTCCTAGCACTTCTACATAACTACAGCACTAGGCATGGTAACCACTTTTACCTCCTAGCACTTCTACATAACTACAGCACTAGGCATGGTAACCACTTTTACCTCCTAGCACTTCTACATAACTACAGCACTAGGCATGGTAACCACTTTTACCTCCTAGCACTTCTACATAACTACAGCACTAGGCATGGTAACCACTTTTACCTCCTAGCACTTCTACATAACTACAGCACTAGGCATGGTAACCACTTTTACCTCCTAGCACTTCTACATAACTACAGCACTAGGCATGGTAACCACTTTTACCTCCTAGCACTTCTACATAACTACAGCACTAGGCATGGTAACCACTTTTACCTCCTAGCACTTCTACATAACTACAGCACTAGGCATGGTAACCACTTTTACCTCCTAGCACTTCTACATAACTACAGCACTAGGCATGGTAACCACTTTTACCTCCTAGCACTTCTACATAACTACAGCACTAGGCATGGTAACCACTTTTACCTCCTAGCACTTCTACATAACTACAGCACTAGGCATGGTAACCACTTTTACCTCCTAGCACTTCTACATAACTACAGCACTAGGCATGGTAACCACTTTTACCTCCTAGCACTTCTACATAACTACAGCACTAGGCATGGTAACCACTTTTACCTCCTAGCACTTCTACATAACTACAGCACTAGGCATGGTAACCACTTTTACCTCCTAGCACTTCTACATAACTACAGCACTAGGCATGGTAACCACTTTTACCCCCTAACACTTCTACATAACTACAACACTAGGCATGGCAACCACTTTTACCTCCTAGCACTTCTACATAACTACAGCACTAGGCATGGTGACCATCTTGCAGGTATCAGATGCATTACCAAGTTTTATCATAAATCATTGCCACACTCAGTTATTTCTCTTTGGAATAATATTTCAATTGTAACAATCCTAGTCGCCACAAACTTCAAAGCCTATCTAGACATAAACTTGAGGTAACGCTCCTCTGATATTGTTATGTAGGATCATGATCAAGACGATGTCATATATATCACTTAATCAGAAATATTGTTGAAAATCCAATGTGTTCCTGTGGAAATTCTGTTGAAGACATTTCCTGCTATTTGCTGCTTTTTTTTATTATGAATAACTGACTCCCTTGCAGCTCCAATTCAGTATTAGTTTACTACTACATGTAGTTGGTGATGTGTCGTTAAATGTATAATGAAAAATTTAAATACATATTTACAATTCCCAGTACTCCTTAAGTCCTGCACAGATTTGAATGATACTTGGTACGCACAACTCTTACATAGAAAGGATACAAATAAAGAGTTACCTCTTGAGTTTAAGTAGGTGTTCCCCTTTGTTTAAAGATATTTTTAACCGTACTACTTCTAAATTCTCAGAACTAATTTGTAGGATGCTTAGTAAACAAAAACCATACATCAAAGGGGTAGGAATAAAGTATATGAATTGGCATCATGTCACTGATATTTATTACGGTTTGCCCCTTTTCTAAAAAATTGTTCGCACTTGTCCTCCCAATGTACAGCACCAATTTTAAAGATACAGAACCTTTACTGCAAGGGAATGTAAAGTGTATAAATATAAATACAAATGTATGTGCTACCTTGTCTATTTGCAGAGTTATGCCCCTTAAGATGTTCTTTGTTCTATAGTTCTTGGCACATGACATAGGTATTATATAAGTCTTTGTCATTTTTTTGGTGACAGTTCTAGGTATAACATATGTGTAAAATTAAGATAACAATGCTTTATAGACCGCAACAAGAAAAAAGGTTATTTTCATTTTTGTGGGTAGACACTCGGTGCATTTGTTGCTTACCTTTAAGTAAAGAAAGAAAGGTATAGTTGATTAAACCTTCTGTCTGAGACATGTAATACACCGAGCAGTCTGAGAAATGTAATACACCGAGCAGTCTGAGACATGTAATACACCGAGCAGTCTGAGACATGTACTACACCGAGCAGTCTGAGACGTAATACACCGAGCAGTCTGAGACATGTAATACACCTAGCAGTCTGAGACATGTAATACACTGAGCAGTCTGGAATGTTGTTATTGTGCAGACTGAGACTGCAGTTGAATGGGCTGTGAAATTCATGGAGAAAACGTGATTTTTTTGCAATATACTTGAACAAAGGAAAATCACAACAGTATGGTCCTTTATGTACAAAATTGCATTATCAGAGGATGCTGTGAGCCATGAATTTCTGGAATAAATTAAAGGCAGAAAGTGAGAATTTAAAATACCTGTGTGGGTATTGATAAAAAGAAAGATTATTGTGAAGATGTAGCTCTGTCAACCAGGAGGTATAGAGCACACTCGGGTGTGTGATATGGATTCGCCCCTGTTGTTGGGAGCACCTGTGACTGACATCTTTAACAAAGCTTGAAGGATAGAGTATAATATGGTTTGGATGGGATATTACTGTTTCTGAACAGTAGTTGTTAAAGTGGTTGGCACTATAAATGAGCTGTTAGAAATTCAAACACATAACAATAAGAACATCTATACTACTTCCGTCATACAAACACACGTTTACAGAGATACTGAAAGGAATCATGTTGTAAGATGCCCGAGTAATTGTACTGTAACAATATAACAATACTACTTTATTGATCTATATTTATAACATTGATAACAGTACCTTAAATTACATAAAAGAGACAAGTTACTGCCCTTTGAGCACTCTTCCATAATACACAGAACAACGAAAGCATGGCAGAGCTTTCAGGGGCTTCTGCTGCTTTTAAATCGCCAGTGTTGCAATCTTTCTTGTTTCCATTGTTTCTATAGTTTACTATTAATGTCTTGATCAATGTACAAATATATTTGAAATAACAGAGCAAGCAAACAGTTTGGCCATTGCTCAATTTGTTTTTCGTTCAGCTTTAATACCATACATCCAAACTGTATTTATGTAAGGAGTTTTAAGTATTCCATTCTTGAAACGATGCCACCGACAAGCTTTCTTACAAAACTTTCCATGTGTACTTTAGGGATATACTAACTATTCCGCTAAATCGACTAATGGATCAATTATATAATATCAAAACACATGACATTGTTATTAGGGATATACTAACTATTCCGCTAAATCGACTAATGGATCAATTATATAATATCAAAACACATGACATTGTTATATTTCAAAAATCAGTAATCGACACAGCATCAACTTGTCATCCTGCCACCACAAAAGGTTTAGGAAATATAGCATTCTTTCTATAGGTATGTATGTATATTAAGGTTTTTGTCATCATCCTAGCAACTGAACCGAATTTCATGAAACTTGATAAAATTGTTTAGTATCTCAAAGTTTTTGAATGAGATCATGTTTTAGGGTTCTATGCTCAAGGTCAAGGTTGTGGTATAATAAAGAGTATCTGCAGCAGTCTGGATTGAATTTATGCTGT